GTGTGTGTGGGTGTGTGTGTGTGTGTGTGTGTGTGTGTGTGTGTGCGCGCAGCCCGAGCCAGCAGCGGCGCCCAACGCGCCACCACGATGATAGAACCTCAGAATCATCATAGCACCCTGTGTCACCTTAACCTAATGACGTCAAGTTGCACCGGATGTTTAGAGCTGCTCAACTGTTGTGGTCTTTTTGCATGAGTTGATGATGCTCCATATGTGCCTTCTTCTTCTTCTTCTTTTTTGGTGTTTTGTTGGCGGTTGGCAAACCAACTAATAGGTGCATTACCGCCACCGACTGGACTGGCCATATGTGCCTTCATTGTTTGCCTTGACTTTTGGCTTGTAACTGGGTGTGGAAGGTTATTTAGCTATAGTTTGGAGACAAAAATGCACCTAAAGTAAGCAAACGCATACAAAAACTTTATTTAGGGACCCATTCAAAAAATAATAAGTGTGGTTTTTTTTTATTTAGTCTAAAATGCAGACTGTTTAGTGGTAGGTAGGGTTGTGGCTGTAATTATAATTAGCTGTGTAAAAACAATTAAAGTCTATAGCAAGAGTTTTCAAACTGGGGTCAATATGGCCACTAAAGACTATTACACAACTTATTCAGTTATATCTTTTATTTGCATAAGCTGTTCACAATTCAGGTATTTCAAAGACATTCCTATTTTCCATGATATCCCCCGTTTAAAAGATTTTTTCCCTTTTCCGTTGGTTTTAACTACATTTCCCATAATCCGCTTCACTTTCACTAACTTCCTATTGAATGGGAAACATAAGAGGCTTACAAAGTATGGTTTCTGTATGCAAATTTCATGTATTATCATCAGCACTTCTTAACGTGTAAAAAATAAATAAATAATAGTCTTACTTACGGAATGTGGGTTTGGTGTCGGGTCAAATATGGTCGGCACTCTCCCTTCCTTCAGTAAGAGTTTACTTGCATAGCCTGCATTAAACTGTGATAGGTTCACAAATGAGTCCGTACTGAAATGCGCTGAACAGATTGTTAATGTCGGACTGTACCGATCAGAAACGTCGGTAAAGAGAAACTTCAGCCATTCGTTTCTGATGCTGGGATCCTTTGGGAGGCTGTGCAGAGACACGGGCTCAATCCTACAGCCAGAAACAGCACAGCGTTTGATGGATTTCCCCCACATCTAGATGCAGACGAAAATAACACTGCGCTCTTCTTTTGATACTTAGAAATAATATTAACCTCCTTATATTTTCTCCATGACTGGGCGGGCCATAAATGTGGGCGATCATATGTTAAGCTCAAGGGCACCTCAGTCGTGGTATTGAAGGTGGGAGAGAGCGCTGTACGTTCAGTCCCCCCACCTAGAATCCCTGCCGGTATGAGACTTGAACTTTTCCCTTTTCTGTTTACCTTTGTGTTACGAGTCCGACTCTCTAACCATTAGGCCACGACTTAATTGCTCGTGGCTGTGACGTGAATACCACAATGCGTTCTTCTGAGTGACCTGTTTCTGCAGCAACTGGGGCTGCTAGGGTGGAAGTTTTAATCATCACCCAATGAAACAGCAAGGGAAATCTTGATTTTCTGGAAATTGCCTTTTTAAATCATAAAATGTTCACCTTAGTTTCTGTGTTTGTGAAACTAATGAGTTGTGTTTGGTGAGGCTGGTTTATTTTTCATTGCGTGGTAACTGACAGTCAATTAAAGTTCAAACTCAGAGTAAATTGAACGACCTCCTCGGTTTAAAAAGTAGGCTATTTTTTTATCATTCATATTTGTCATGATACCACATGTTCAAAGTCCCCAGTGATAGGGGGCGCTCGTCTGGGGTTACGACCCCCCC